CATGATGAATATTTGCAGGAAATCAGATTTCTGTCTCAGAGGATAAAACCAACAATATCTTGAGAAATGATCTATGAAAATAACATAATATTTGAAGCCTTGAACAGAAGTAACTGGAGAGGGACCCCACAGATCACAACTTATCCTCTCAAGAGGTTTGCTTGATACATAGACTGAATTAGAGAAAGGCAATCTAGAACTTTTGCCAAGTTGACAAGAGTCACAAATCTTGGACAAGTTTTTATTGACGCTAATAGACAGACTTCTAGACAGAATTTGTAGAATCTCTGCACTTGGGTGACCCAATCTTCTGTGCCAAACCTCTGCACTTGCCGCAACTTGACGAGCCGTGTAGAAGGCAGTGAAGGCTGAGTTTTCTAGTACATACAGATCCTTGTGTCTACTTCCTTGAGTTAGGACTTGCTTGGTTAGCTTGTCCTTAACATACACACCATCACAGTCAAATGTAAACTCACAAGGATAATCAACCGTAAGTTTTGAAACAGAAAGCAAAGACTTTGCTATATTAGGACATACTAAGACATCTTTTAGACAAAGAATACCTGTAGAGCCAGGGTTTGTCTGCAGTGGTACAGAACCCATGTGAGTTATTGGCAAAAAGTTACCATCAACCACCATAACTGAGTCATTTCCATGATACGCTTGCACGGACTGAAGGTTTTGCTGAGAGTTAGTGACATGAGCAGAAGCAGCAGTGTCTGGGTACCACTCAGATCCATTGTAGGTCTGTTCTGCCGAGGGAGGATCATTTGTGACATGAAGCGCAGCCATTGCAGAAGGAAGATCATTACTTTGATAAGATATATCAAAACGACGATAACATTTGAGGGCGTTGTGTCCAAAACGACCACAAATCTGACAGGTGGGTCTTGAGGACGTGTCTCCTTGAGAGTTGTTGTTTGACTGAGGAACTTGTTGGTGAAAGCCACGGCCTCGAGTGGAGTATCCTCTGCCTCTGTTGTAAGCATAACGACCGTTGCTTCCTCCACGACCTCTGTACTGATTAAAATGGGGCGTCTGTTGAGAGTAATTTGCGTTCTGAGGGTAGGAGTTGTCATTAGTAGACACATGAACCGCTAAGTGAGGAGAAACAGAGGTCTGAGATCCTTCATACGACTTGAGTCTGTCTTCAAAACCAGTGAGGCGAGGAACACTGTCTTCATATGATGGAGCCAAAGGAGAATCCATGGCTCCTTCTATGCTTGTTTTGATAGGCTCATACTCTCGTCCCAGACCTTGGAGAGCAGCAAATATCTTCATTTTCTCAGTTACTGGACTTCCAACAGAGTGCAATTGATCACAAAGACCTTTGATTTCCTTTAAGTAGTCGCTCATAGTCTTGTTGGTTTTGGAGACAGTTTGTAAACGGCGTTGCAGTTCAAACAGACGAGATGAGGTAGCTCTATTAAAATGATTCCCAAGTGAGACCCATACCTCGTGAGCCGTTTGTGCTCCAAGGACCACACTCAAGATGTCTTCAGAGAGAGAACCAACAAGCCAGGCTTGAACAATCTGGTCAGATCTGACCCACTGTTGGTGGTCAGGGTTTGGTACATCTCTATAGCCTCCGGCTATGTCCGGCACGTGTATGGTTACTAGTGGCTCAGGAGAAGCACCATTGACAAAGCTGAGAAGACCAACACCAGAAAGAAAAGATTCAAACTGACGTTTCCATTGTATGTAGTTGCGTTCGGTGAGCTTGATGGTGACACAGTTCGAGATATTAAGCTTTGGTTGAGCATAGAGATCCAGGACGTTGTCCATGGCTCTGATACCATAAAAGCAGAGAAAGAAACTTTGTTTTTAGAGATAAATCTGAGATAAACTGAAACTTTCCATTATCTTTCTTGCTCAAGAGTTCATTACAATATAAGAGCTATATTTATACTTAAAAGTGAAAACCCTAGATGAATGTCTTGCTGTCACTTTGGTTTACTCCTCTGCGTTGAATCCCAGTAATCCAAAGCTGTTCTTCAACTCTATTGGCTCCTTTGTTCCGTACACTGCAGGACCACTCTTTGTCTTTTTCCTTCCTTTCTCTTTCTGAACTCAAAGTGACTGTTGTTTGTTTATCCTTCAGTGTGGGCTTCGTGTTTGTCNCACTGCAGGACCACTCTTTGTCTTTTTCCTTCCTTTCTCTTTCTGAACTCAAAGTGACTGTTGTTTGTTTATCCTTCAGTGTGGGCTTCGTGTTTGTCTTTTGCAGGCCCATGTCATTCTTGGTGAAGCTTGTCTCAGCCCAAGGCATTTTCTCTTGCTCTAAACCCACACTCTGATTTAATTCTTCTTCCTTCTTCTCGGTTTCTGAGACACGTTCTGTTTCTGTTTTCTCTTTTAACTTCCAGACATTGTTCACCTTGTCACTCTTGCTGACAACAAGTAGGATTGAGAAAACAAAGACATGGCTTTTTTGGGGTTATATACAGAGTTTTGGCTCTCAATAGATGCACACCGACACACAGAGAGAAAGGGAATCTCAATAGATTGTAATGCAATCCTGAAGGCCCCAGCACCATTACTAGAGTTTTTACGATTTTGTTTTTTTGATGTAACCAGTTTCACGGGATTCTTACATCAAATCAACATTAGTATACTACTACTCTTCGTGTCATGCTCTGCATCTCGGGTTTCTATTGGCATTCCAACATTCACAATGAGGTAGGGTTGCAACATCTTGTCACGGAAAAAGGTGTCGGTTTCTCTTATTTGTTTTTAAGGAAAAAATGAAAAAGGACGTGAGATATTTTGATCGGGTACTTGGTATCTATCAATTTTCGGACAAAAACGTAGCTAACTTTTTAGCTAGGGTTCGGTTCAAATTTGTATTGCAGCATAAAACCCGTAAAGTAACCATATATCGTTTGGATTCGGGTTATTTCGGTTCGGTTCGGATATACCCGAAGTATAAAACAAAATTTCGAAACAAAAACATAAAGAAAAACACTGAAACTGAATATAAAATTAATCATACATAAAATTGATAAAAAAAAATACTAAATCAGTCATTAAAACATACATCACTTGTAAACAATGTGCATTACCTTACATATAAACTAAATTTATTATTTTAATGAACAAATTACAAAGTACTTGTTTATGACTAATTATATATTTAAGATATTTATTTACATTTTAATATTTATTATATGTATCATATCAAAATAAACATTAAACTGAATATCTAAAATATATATATATATATTTAAAATATTTATATTAATTATTAATTTCGGATATTTCGCGTTACCCGTTTAGGTTTGGTTAAATAACACTTCGGGTTCGGATTTTTTTATACCATCCTATAAGACCCGTTCGGGTATTTTTACATTTCGGATCGGATAACGGGTCGGATTTTTCGGTTCGAGTTTGGTTTGTATTTCGGGTTTCGGATTTTATGCCCAGACCTATTTTTAGCAGTGAGCAGCCCTATTATCCCCTTATTATTAAAGGAGAAGCAATTTAAAAAAATAACCTTTATTTTGTATCTTATTTACACTATTGCCATTTTAGTGATGTGTCAGCTCTATATGCTTTCTCAATCCATAAATAAAAACACCCTTTAATTATTAGACAAATTACACAATATGCCATTGGCGTCACCATTCATTACAAATTTTATAATATCGCCTCGCCTAACATAATACGAAGACTTTCACTCATGGGCTTACTCATCACATTTTATTTCTTTTTGTATTGATATCACAACTTTTTTATTTTTCAATAATTGACAATCATTTTGTTCAAAAAAAATATGATTGACAACCATATTATGAAGAAACCTATGATCCTTTTTGTACACATCTTATTGGTGATACCTAAATTTTCACAATCTAATCAAGTGATTATTGTGGTGACGTTTTATATTTATTTATTTTTCAAATTAAACTGACGAATTCTTCAGCTATATATATGTTATTAGTATCTTTATATATAATTTATATATTTTTTTTAAAAGGCTTCCGATTTATATACATACTCCGTAGTACATATCTTTTTAGCAGTAAGAACATAACTATGAGTCATACTTAGTACGTACATGTAACAATGCAAACGGCGAAATATGAGTTGTTGCCTATTTGCAAGTCAATGTAAGTAATTATTTACACTTAATTTGTGCAGCATAAATTACATTAGTTGAAAAGTAATTATTTACCTTAATTTGTTCAGAATAAATTAGTGTTACGAAATCAATTCAGATGGGTAATTTTCGCCATATAATGCAATGTTTCAATTTTGAAAGTAAATATACAGATATTAGTTCTCATATATTCCTCATTAGTTATCCTACGTGTCTGCTTCTACTATATCAGTTGTTATGTCGTGTCCTAGAAACCATTCCAAGCTCAAACCCTAAAATTTCTGAGAATTTGCTATATGTCAAGCCTGTTTGAGACTTGCGTAAAATTGGGTCAAGATTAATTGTACTCCATTTAGTTAATCCCAGTTATTCCCTATTAGTGAAATGCATGTTTTAAAATTTTAAATAGTTTCAACTTCTTATGTATTTTATCTTGCAAAAAATATATTTCATATAAATTATGTACCTTACATAAATTCAATAATCTTACCCCGAGCGAAAGCGCGGGTCTTAACCTAGTGATAATATATAGTACAATATATGATTAGGCAAAGAAGATTTAGTTGTCAGTGTGGTGACCGTGGACAAAATAATGATTATAATCAAAACACGAAAGAAAAGTTTACAAAATTCGATTCCGTGAATTAGTGGCAAACACAACGCTTTCCTTGCTTTAATAGGCCATCATATTGAAAATAATTAAACAAGAAACTTTATCAATCACATGATAAAATCCCAAAAATTGACAGACATAGCAAAACAATGGTTTAAATTCGCTCAAATTAGTTTAGACCAGAAATAAATAAATAAATAAAAACAGTTCATGAGGTTAACTGTCAAGGTATGAGAACTGTATGTTTCAACACATTTCTTCACCAAATGTTTATTTTTTTAATGTGTGAACCAGTCATAATTATGGTAAGAAAATTAGTATACAATTAACAACCCTGTTGAATTAAGGCGTGTTAGAATGACATAATGCATCCCCCCTCCCCCCCAAAAAAATATAAAATACAAACTAAAACTAACTTCAGAACTTCAAAACTTAACATGAAAAAATGCAAAAAATGCGGTGAAAGTCGTATTTACATATTGAACTTCTTTTTTTTTGCGACACACATCAACAAAACCTGGGTTTGAATCGAGAGTAGTTTATCGAGACTTCTATCATTATTTCTTTGTTGCAGAAAATAGAACTAAAAATATATCAAAAATCAATCCACAAATTACTAAAATAAAAAGAAACAAACAAACAAAAAATAACTAAAACTTAGGGCTACCAGTAACAGCATAAGATTTGCTACGAGGATACAAAAGCTCAGAGACTTTCTTAGTCGTCTTCGGATTCACAGATCCTTCCTCTCCTTCTTCATCCTCATCTATCCTCGCCATCCCTACGCTCGAGCTCTTTGGCAACCCTCCATGCTTCATCTTCTTCTGCATCTCTTGTTGAAGCTTCTCTTGTTTCACCTTCTCTTGTATCAACATGTCTATCTCGTTCTTGTGTCCTAAACTCCTAACCGACGCTGCTCTCACTAGCTCGCTGTAATCATCATCTATCCCGAAATCAGTTGTTCTCCGAGTAGATGCTGAGGAGGAGAAGGCGGCGGAGGAAGAGCTCTTGCTTCTTGGAAAAGCAGTGGAGGCGGAGGAGGAGGAGGGATACTGAGTCCGAGCAGCACAACCAGTGATGCTTCTCACGTAAGCCTTGCCTAAAACTCTAAAAGGTGTTGAGATGATTCTCAAGAACTTGTTTTGGTTTTGTCCTCCGTTTCTCATACTCTGTTTTGGACAATGGTATTTTGTTTTTTGGTGTGTTTGAAATGATGGGTTTGGGGTTTGGAGTATGATGTGGTTTTGAGGGTTTTTAAATGGCGATTTGATTTTTATAATAATAATGATTAAAAAGATATGTTAAAGAAGAAATAATTGAGAGAATCAAACGTGACTTTTAAGGATTTTCTTAATAGTAGGTTCTTGGAAAATAATTGTGAAAAGAGTGTCGACAAAAAAAGATTGAGGAAAGCGTGTGGAAAGGGTAATCACAAGGTCCCATTGATCGTAACCATTAACATGTTTTTGTTGATATACATATTGAAATATAATGACGTAGTTCTCAATTTTCACTAATAATGTTGCTGTAAATTTCAACATGTAATTTGTAGCATATGGATTACAGATAACAATTAGTTATGAATATCCCTTATATATTAAAAGAGAAGCATTTTGCATTAAATGTTTTCACATCACCTTCTCACAAATTATTACCTTATTTACTACCTTTTCATAATTCATTACCTTATTTACTACATCTCACAATATATTACCTTATTTACTTCAATTATAAAACACACGAGATACTTTAAAACTACAAAGTTCAATATCGCGTGAGATAAGTTCGGAGGCAAGTGAATTGGCTTGAGGGTCGATGTCAAAGTTTTGAAACGTCGTTATTTGGGAGGTGAGACGTATCTAAGATGATGGATGTGAAGGGCAACATACCGGAGCCCATGAACGCGATCTTGGTTTGGACATGGCTAGTGTGTAGCGTGAAGAGATAGAACTCGACCTTGCTAAGTTTGAGATAGTTAGTGTACTGAGGATATATTTAAATGGTGAAGTATGTTGTCTTCGAGAGATCCCAAGACCGTATAGTAGTGGTGCTCTGAAAACTCTATATCTTCACTACGTAGATTGGTGAGATAGGTTCTGTAGTTTTGGACTTTTGGGCACAAGTTTTTAACGTCGATATTTGTATCCATAGGCAAGGACGTGGACATGAGCTATTGAACAAATTCTCGACATATATATGTGAAAGGTTTAAGGCTCTTGAGATTGGAGATTTCGTTATACAAGTCGAAAATTTGCTTCTCGAAATGAGCTTTTTGGCAACCCATCTCGAGGCTAGAAGAAGATTTGGGATTGTCTCAATACTCTTAATGGTGTTCACAGTAATATACTTTCATCTTACGTGTGTCCATGTCGTGTGGATGACAAAAAAAAAACAGATACATGTTCCAAAAGTTATACGTATGAAAAAACGTCTAGTGAGGGTAGATCTAAATGGTGAAGTATGTTGTCTTCGAGAGATCCCAAGGCCGTTTAGTAGTGGTGCTCTGAAAATTATATATCTTCACTACGTAGGTTGGTGAGATTGGTTATGATGTTTTGGACTTTTGGGCACAAGTTTTCAACGTCGATATTTGTATCCATAGGCAAGGACGTGGACATGAGCTATTTAACAAATTGTAGACATATATATGTGAAAGGTTTAAGGCTCTTGAGATTGGAGATTTCGTTATACAAGTCGAGAATTTGCTTCTCGAAATGAGCCTTTTCGCAATCCATCTCGAGACTAAAAGGAGATTTGAGATTGTCTCAATACTCTTAATGGTGTTCACAGTAATATACTTTCATCTTATGTGTGTCCATGTCGTGTGGATGACAAAAAAAACAAATATATGAGACAAAAGTTATACGTATGAAAAAACGTTTATCAATCGGAATAAAGTTATACGTATTAAAAAACGTTTATCAACCGGCGTTTGTTCATTATCTTTGGTCTCACTTATGTTACAAACATGGAAGGTGTTTCTGAAATTCTGTTTGATACTGACATCCAAAAGATTCAGTTCTTCCAAATCGCAGTAAGCACATTATACTTAGTTGGTTTTATAAAGTTGTGTAGTATATACACTAAAAACTTTGTTCTTCCTCATATATTGAAATTCATGTCTTTGCAAGATTCCAATCATCGATTTCTGAAGTTTTGAAATTATTCTATATAATTATTAATTGTATTTTTTTATAAAATACCTATTTATATTTAGACCATTATTTGTTTTTGGAAGAGTGAGATTATGCATCTTTATTATAATGGAAGTGAGTTTATTTTATTTATATTAGATTTCTCATCTTCTTTAACCTAAAGACTTACCATAGTGAGGGCCTCTCCAAAAATAAATTCGTAATTAATTTTAGTCTTTGTGTTATCACCATAAAATCAAAATCGTAATTTAACTAAAAGGACAATATTTATAATATAGATATATAATTGGATGATATTAAAATCCGAAATAACCAATCCAAAACAAACTAATATGCAAATAAAACAGATATAATGTATTCTTATCTTCAAAAATACAACAAATTTAATCATCTCATTCCGCGCAAGGCGCGGGTCTAATCCTAGTATTATGTTAACGTGAATACGTTTTGAAATTAATGTACATTTCGCATTAAAAAGTAAAATACATATGGACTAAAACTAAAAGTACTTAATAATTGGATAAGTCTTGCGACATGGAGTAATAAAGCCGCCTTCGATTCTCTTCAATTTGTTTTCGCGTTTTTCTTTGTTCAAATCTAAATGTCAAAAAAATACGAATGTCAAAAGCTTGAATGTACGGGGTTAGTCAATGTTGTGTATTTTTCTTCAAGTCGTAGAAAATAGATTTATCTATATCGAGCATATTTTGTTTATTTTTTCTTATTTAATAAGTTATATATATTAAGATAGAATAAAGTATTAATAGCTAGTGAAGACTAAAACTGTAGATAATAAGAAGATTCCTTTAGACTTATAAACGTTACCACTTTAGATATGAATTATAGTCAATGGATTTTTGTTTCCAGTAACATTTTCCTAACTTTTTTTTTGAGAAAGGGCTAACATTTTCCTAACTTCTCTTACTGAATTACAGTTGCAAAGAGATAAAATGTGGCAAAAAAAACTTAACAATTTCACAGCCGACTTCAAAACGCTACAAAACTTGTACCAACCGGGTTTACTTTTTATTAACATCGAGTATAAACTTATTTATATATTAACAACTATACTAGTAGTTATTTTAAAAACCGGAAACGTGGGGCGGGCACAAAATATGTGGGAAGCGTGGCAAAGAAACATTTGATGGGGTTTGGACTTTTCTTTTTGGCAGGTATGTGGGCACATCTTATTAGAAAAATACTCTCTTACGAAAATTAGATAAGAACAAACATGTGGAGACATGTCCGACGTCAAAACTATCATTGCTTCTAGAAACAATTTGATTAATTAAGTCGGTAGTTAACAAGATTTCGATTGACAACACATGTAATTTTGTCATACTGACTTAAACTGCAGTATACTACTTATAAAAACTAAAGGCTTTTCTGGTGATTATTATGTTACAAAAAAGTAAAAAAAAAAAACTCGTGATGACAAAGAGATAGATTCCAAAAAGATGAGTCCCATGTGATTTGTTATATACGTTAACAAAATTGATTCATCACCACTGTATATAAGTCTATCCTTCATAAAATTTGTTCAACAGAAACTAAACTTTCGCCAAAAAACATAGTTTACTATTACGCTGCCTTTTCACATGTTTTTGTATTTAAGAACATTGACTAAAGTTTCATATACTGTACGCAGATATTAAAGATTCAACTAGAATATGTTAAAAGAGTATCAAATTCATTTCCTCATTGCAGAAACTTTACCGCGTGATATTGTTAGGAAAGTGAGTGATTCATTGGTTATTTTGTAAATATAGCTCTATGACATTTAACTTCTTAGTGTATAATTTACGTTCAGAGCATGCCCATCAGCGATTTGACTGGGCGCGAAATCCTAGCTCACTTTTTTAAAAAAAAATTCTTTCGTTTGATTTGTCAAAAAAAAAAAAGTCAGTGAATCATGGTCGGATCATGATTAATCACGTGACAAACTAGTGACGATCCGAATTCACCACGCAACACGGATTCACTATTTTTTACCTCGAAAACGTGTGAACATTTGGATGCTCTCATGCCATAAGAGTAGAGCATGCGCGGAGGCCTATGAAAAATAATTCCTACAAAGCCCACAATTAAAGGACCTCAACAGAGAATCACCTAGCTCCGCCCACAATTAAACTCACATATCTAAACCGAACTGAACCGAACCGAAACAATGGTTTAGTTTTATCAAACTCATCTTGAGCTGAATAACACAATCTAATCAGGATTACAAACCCTTATTCCCTTTTCAATTCTGCAAAATTGGATTTTGTGAGATATTCAATTGCAAAAAAAATCCTGTTTCCGTTTGAATGGACCTTCTTCGATTAGGAGAGAAGAATCTCTTTACACCTCAACGAAGAAGAAAATGGCTAATGCTCATAGCGATCTCCAGCGTCTCTAGTTACGGAGCCTACAAGCTCTACCATCTACCATCCATCGCCACCAAGAGAAAACGCCTCACGAACATTCTCACATCTCTCCTCTCCGTAACCGAATTAATCTCCGACTCAACCGAAACCATATCCCTCGTCTCACGTGACTTCAAAACATTCCTCGATTCCGATTCCGATCAAATCCCAAACACATTGAAACAGATCTCAAAGATCGCCAAATCCAACGAGTTCACGAAATCCCTCTCTAACGTCTCTCGTGCTCTCACCATCGGTGTCTCTCGTGGTGTATACGACGTTGACGATTCGGGACCAAGTGTTGTTGATAGAGTGATCGATAAGGCTTTAACAGAATCTGGATCCGGTTTCATGTCTATTGTGATTGGTAGCTTTGCTAAGAATCTTGTTCTTGGACTTTATTATTACTCTAATGAGAATGAGAACGGTGTGGAGTGTGATTCTTCTCCTCGTTGGGTGAATTTGCTTTGTGATGAGAAATGTAGAGAGGTTTTAGCTGATTGTATTCAGAGATTCACAAGCATTGCTGTCTCTGTTTATCTCAACAAGACTATTGATATCAACACTTATGATCAGATTTTCCAAGGCTTGACTAATCCCAAACATCAGGATAGCGTCAAAGACGTTCTTGTTTCCGTTTGTAACGGTGCGCTCAAGACTCTTGTTAAGACCTCTCATGATGTCTTTACTTCTTCTTCAAGGACCGTGATAGAAGAAGAAGAAGATGATGAGTTCAAGAGTAATGCTATCTAAACTACATTGGCTGTTCCAAGTAATCATGTTTGATGTAACGGGGAGCGTGACACTAGAAACGGCAAAATCAATCATGGTTTGTAATGTTGAAGACGCTACAAGGGTTTAGAAAAAGCTTTGAAGTGGTTCAAGAAGAGGTTATAGAGTTATGTTGGTGCTAAGTCTTCTGTTATAGTCACGTTATGTCTAGCTTTGTATTTGCACATCATAAGTGGCTGTGTTAGGAGTTCTTCTCTCATAGGATTAAGCCAGCATTTTTAAGTCTATTGGTTAGGTTACACAAAGATTATTAATCAGCTTCGTTTTTCATTTATATTGGTTATAGTTGGAGCTGAGAATAGTGTTAGAGAATGTTGTTGTGTATGTGTATGTGCACAAACTGATTCTTATTGATGGAACATATATATTATTATAAAATTGGATAAGGTTCTTGTGACATTCGATCTTTAGAAGTGATGATTTCATAATCTCTGTTACACTTCTTGAACAAAAGCGTCATAGATCAACAGACCTGACTTCCATTTTCCGGTCCACACTTCATACAAACCAAACTGAAGCTTGGTTTCTTGTGTTATTGGTACGTTGGGACTGACAAAGATCTCGAATCTTCCATCAGTTTCATCTGGTATGGTAACCGGTTCTGTACCGTCTCTAAGCTTCGCGAAGTTGGTGTTGATTGACTTGATTCTTTTCCAAATTGTCTTGCCTTTCTTCCCAACTTTGGCTGACATGAAAACCGGAGCCTTGTCCCATCCTGTTGCATCACCTGTGAAGGAGATTTTGAAACCGATTCGGTACGTTTTGCCTGGTTCGACCTTGTCAAAGGAACCGGTTACTTCTAACCAACTCACCATCTTCAGTTCAGCAGGCGTCCTTTGAAAACACACCAAAGACCAAAGGACAGTTCATTTAGAACTTAAAACTGGTTAAGAATGTAAGATGAAGAATGTAGGTAGGTACCTGTCTTCTTTAGGGATGACCCAGTACCGAGAGTCACCACCCCATACGAAGTTAAGACCACTTGGCTTAAACACCCATGCTTTTCTAACGATCTAGTTAACAAGTTTGATTGGTTTATTAGCTGCAACAAATAGAAGATAGCTTACTGAAAAACAAACAAAAATAAAAGTAGACATATTACATCTTGTTCCATGTTGGATTCTGCCTCGAAGTGAGAACTCTTGACAGCTTTTTGGGCAGACATTTCTTTCTTACTCTCTTCTTTGCTGTTTTGTTGATGAAAGCACACTTTGTGTGCTTTATATAGAGATTTGTTTTTGCTTTTCACTGTAGTGAAATTTTATGTGGAAAGGTAGATTGTGACAGAAGAAGAACATATTAAGTTGGTCCCAACTGTTTTCTTGTCAAGAAGTGCGTTACTTTCTTTTGTTAACTTAGCATACGTGAATGATCATAACAACCATGTAAAAGGCATAAACTCAAATGGACCGCATAAGGTAAAAAGGAAAATATTCTAAGTGTGCGGCTCTTCTTCTCCTTTCTCTTCTTTATTCTATCTGAACTTTTTATGAGGATCAAACGGATCAAATAGTTTCACTAAATGCTTATTGGTCATCTAAAGTTGAGAATTTTAAACAGATTAGATGCTGTCGTCGCATGTGTGTATCCGGATGTGAGTTCGGAGTTACATTTCGAATATTTAACATTACAGGCAACGTCTAATCGGCTGGTTGAGCGAGAAGCTGACAATGACGACTGAAGATGGTGATGATGTGTGTGTTTTGGCTTCAACTTGCAAACAGCTTAAAATCTTTGAGAATGTAACTAAAAAAGCTTGCGGACTTAGTTGAGCTTTGCTGTGTTTAGATTCCTGTTTTTCCAATGGTGTTTCTCAAGATTCTACTCTACTTCACCTTTATTTTGGTTAGTGGGCGAAGTTTGACAAAAGAAAAGCAGATTCCTACTGATTTCAACACCTTATACTGGATACACAACAACCACCTTATTATCTTAAAATTTCAAGATGAACGCTAGTTGCAACTGAGAAAATGATTCTACGAGAAGTATGCTGGTTTGAATGAATAACATTACTAGTTATTACCTCATAGAGTATTTATCACCATTTCTTTGATACATAATTGTCTAGAAAAAGCTTTGATTTCAATAAACAAAGAAGATGCCGTTCACAATACCGCCAACTGAACATTCAGATAGTTTTGTAGTTTATATGTAAACCAACCAAACGTCATAGATGCCAAAACAAAACGGCACCTCGTTGACGCAAAAGCTCATCACAGCAATTGTACACGCATACTAAGCAATAGAAAAATCAGAGTCACAATTGCTTTCTCATTCACATACCTTCTCCCAATCATCCACCACTTCTTCGCCACTTAAGCCTTCCACAGGTTGTTTACCTGCAGCTTTTGAACTGCTACTCCCCTCAGTCTGAACCAATGGCTGCAAAGTGGACGTGTTGGGCTTCTCGGGTTCCAGTACACTCCAACGGTTAACCGAGGTAACCACTGGAGTGTTGCTCGTTGCTGATCTCCACGCAGCGGCTTGAATATCTGTAGATGATCCTCCAATGGGGGAATCTTCAGCTCCCCAGTTTTCATCACTCTCCTGAATCACTGCTTTCTTCCATGGATTTGCTTTCTGTACATCCCAGGATGAGCTGCTAGGTAGTTTTCCCCATGCATTACCGAGTGATGGAGATTGCGCATTGTTCTGGACAACCACGGCTCCATTGTATACAGAACCGTGGTCCAGCCTCCTCATGGCAGTGGCAGCTCGAGCATGGTCGTGGAACACGGCCAAAGCATTCTTGTCATTCAACCAAACAAGCTCACATTCACCTCCAAATCTCAGTACCAAAGCGCTTATATTGGCCTCTCTTGGGAGATCCAATAAAGACACCACAAGCCTAGGATCCATATCCACCAGCGGATCAAAGGACGGTGGGTGAGGCCCGCCTAGCGAGACAGCGCCACTCCTAGCTCCAATGATTCGTGTTGGCGTTTTTGACTTTTGTGTTACGTGGACCACTGTAAACCTTTTTGGCTCCCACCCTGCATTGCTAACCGCAAGTTTCCATCTCTCAGCCAGAAGCCGAACCGTATCTCGTTTATCCTTTTGCATCGGACAAAAGACATGTACCTTGAGGGCACTTGTGCTTCCTCTGGCTTTCCCCAGTACCAGGAACTTGAAGCGCTCTTCAACAGCCAGTACCCACTTGGGATCACGCCTATAGATGTCCGAGATAATCTCTGTCATAGCAGAATTCTCGCTGAAATGTAAAGAGTCCAGATTTGGAGGAGTAATATCAAACGCATCCTGAAGAACACGCTTACGTTCCAGCTTAGCACACTCATCATCACAGGAAAGCTTTCGCTGCCCGAGAGGGATTCGGTTTCCATTCGACTCAACAGGCTGAAGCGTGGTTGGAAGCTTGTGCAAAACAGAGGCCTCATACACAGAATCAACACGAAGATTGCTAGCACTTCCTCCTCCAGCATCGCAAGGGACTGTAGCGGTTATGCGACCACACGAACATGTTATTGTGACTGGAAATTCACATCTTGAGTCAGGGCAAGGGTGAGAAGGATGGCAGAGTGCTGCACAAGTGTGCCTGCATTCTCTTCTAGGAGCACTACAAGTCTGTCCACATGTAACACGAAGACCAGCTTCAGACTCATTGTGAGTGTCACATGCCTCGGGGTGACAAGTTCTGGTACAAGCATGCATGCCACAACGCCTCGTCTTTCCACAAATCTTGTTACATCGAATGTCTTTCAGGCCACAAGGAATGTTTCTCAGAACCACGTGACCACCAACGCATTTCTTTTCCACGGGGGCAGAACAAGGAGGGCAATCTCCAAAATGGCATCCATGTGTAGCAGAATGGCCACAAGGCTGAGGAATGGAGCACGGAAGCTGGCAGCTAGGAACAGGCGTCCCACATGGTAGTGGTGGAGGAATCGAAGTATTTCCACACGCACATGTTAGATCAGTGAATATCATCTCGAGGCAAGGAGGACAATGGCCGCTATGGCACAAAGATTCACAGGAATGCTGCCCGCACCTTAGCTTCTTCCCACAAGGTAATTGGCATACGTGTGGGTCCCATTCGCCGGTTGGATCATTTTTGTTCGCGTTCAAGAGAGGACAGCAACGTTCACTACATCTATGTCTCCCACAATTCTTCTTACGCCCACATGGTTTAGAACACACAAACTTCTCCATCTCTGAAGAAGTTGTTATGTAGCATTCCACAGTCCTAGATGTCGATCCACACCGGCATTTCTGGTTGACTTGTACTAAACAAGGAGAGCAATCACCTGAATGGCACACCTCGTTGCAAGTATGTAACCCACAAGGAAGAAGCTTCTTGCATATGTTTGAACAAGAAGGAATTGGGTCCAAGCAACTCTGCCTGGTTTGTTCTTCTAGACGCGTTTTCCCACAATAGCACGTCTTAACTCTACTGGGCAGTAAGTCACAGTCGCCGCAAGGTCCAGGGTGGCAAACCTCGGAACAGAAATGATTACCACATCCAAGTGGCTTCCCACAGTTCAAATTGCACGAATACACACCATCTTCAGCTTTCAACTCTCCCTTAACATTCATATCTCCGCAAATGACAGTCTCCACTTTTTTCTTGCAGAAACATGTGGCATTTACCAGTACCTGACAAGGATCACAAGGGCCAACATGACATGTCTTTTCACACTGATGACGCCCACAGTTGAGAAGCTTCTCGCAACGCTGCCCACAAACAAGAAGAGATCTCCGCTCAGAGCATCTAGTATGAATCGTCTTTTTACCGCAAGGACAGCTACGAGGTGGAGCAAACGCCTTACAAGGAGGACACGGACCAGGATGACACTGCAACACACATACATGAGGACAAAGATCCTCATTGGTCCCCTCCGCTGCTGCTGCAAACTCTTTCTCCAGCGGCTTCCCACATGGCTCCCCGCAAGAATGTGGAGTCAGATACGGATCAGAAGGTGGATCTTTCCTCTTCCCACAAAAGCACCGATAACATATCTCTCTTGACGATGTCAACTGCACAGATTGGCAACCAGGACACCTCCAATTATCACCTTGGTTCTTCTCAGCCAACAAATCAATAGAAGTAGGTGCACGAGCCCACTTCTTGATACAATGCATGTGAAAGATAGAGTAACAGCTGGAGCAAGACCATATATTAGCAGACCGACCAACCTTGTCATAACAAATCATACACTCAATAGAACTCTTCACCAGCTTCTCTTGTATCTCTTGAACAAGCTGAGGCAAGTTCGGGTCTACCAACGCAACGCTCTCCTCCTTAGCTACCCTTTTCCCTTGATACACAGGCCTGGTCCTAGACCCAACTCGTTGACGATTATCAGGCGGAGCTCCCGGACCTGGAGCATTATTATTATTTCTTCTCTGTCGATTGGGTGGAGTTGGAGCAGTAACATTACTCCTTTGATTCTGGTTATAAGGCGGACGAACAGAACCGTTATGCTGCCTTTGTAGATTAACAGAACGTGATGCAGCAGCAGGATCAAGGCTTGCTGGAACTCTGGATGTATTAGCAGGAGGAAGGGAAGGCTCATTAACAACCGCCACGGAGGTAGAAGCACCTCCTCTAGGAACCCAAGTTTGCTGAGAACTCTGATGACGCCTATCTCTCCTGACTTGAGAGCTCATGTTCTTCTCTAACTCCACAAATACAGAACAAGATCCTGCACCCGTTGTTGTCACTGTGCGTTCACAAAGAAAACATATGAGAAATACTTTCAATATCTTTGCAGTTACACACAGATAATTCACCAAACACGAAATACAAAATCAATCTTTACAACTATCCGAAAATTACTAAGCTAATATAGAAACAAAATGCAAAAAAAACAAAAAAAAAAAATTGAAAATTATTGCTCGTTCATTATCTTCTTTACGAATGATCGCTATTATTGTTCGTTCGTTCTTCGGGATCTTAAAAAGTGCCCCTCCTTAATCATATATCTAAGAAATTTTCGGAAATCCAGAGCGCTATTTGATGCATCAAAGAAGGGAAAAAAAAAGAAACAAATCGCAATCAAAGAATTGGTACCTGACGGAATAATAACGGAAAGAAGAACCTCCTGGGGGAACCAATAAGTCGCTCGATTTCTCAGGGAGAGAGAGACTGGAGAAGAAAATGGCAAAGGAAGGAGATGTGTGTATATAGGGAGAGAGTGCAAGTGAGAGAGACCGCCTCA